GGCGCGCGGCCTGGGCGCGCGCAGGCGCGACAAGGGTACAGCGCCGGGTCTGGTCTTGAGGTGTCGGAGCGGCCGCGGCTGGGGAGGGGTGGCTGGAACCGTTTGGTGAGTCTCCAGGAGTGGGACTGTGGGAGCTGGCCGGGATGAAGGTTGAAAGTATATCCCAGAAGAAGGAGTATATCATGTCATTTGAAAAGTTGGTGGGGTCAGGCTTGAGGAGAGGTGTGGGGGCGCTCTGGCCTCTGGCAGATCCGGCCCAGAGCGTGGACGCGAAGCGTCTGGAGGCGATCAAGGGGCCGGTGGAGGAAGGGTGGCTGGTGGCTGGTTCCCCGGACTCTTCCCCGAAACCGAACGAGATCAGTTCCTTCCCTGTCACCCTTCACCCCCACTGTGGTCGGGATTAAGGGACTGTGTGGTGACCTCAGTGATCAGAGAGCTCTGCGATAATGGTTTGAAGAAGAACTTTGTCCGTGGCATTGTATAGCTCTTGCTCTCTAGGAAGGTCCACCCTTGCGGCTTTACTGCACGAAGGGAAAGATCAGTAAAAGAATGCGTTTCATAATTCGGGGTTGAAGTAGTGTGTGTGGGAGGGGGGGTACTGTAAAGTGCTTTTTCACCTGTCTCTTTTTTCTTTTTAATTTTTTAAGTGTTGGTGTTTTCGTTTGTTTGTTTGTTTGTTTGTTTCAGAGACAAGGTCTCTATTTTGCCCGAACTCCTGGCCTCAGCCTTTGTTTGTTTTTTTTCTTCTTAAATCATTAGTCACCACAGTGTTAGGAAAGGCAGCTGAATGGTAGAAGGAAACCGAAAAAGAGAAAAAGAGAAGATGGGAGTATCATTTTGCCTTTTGCTATTTGTGGTCATCTGGGATGGTAGTGGGGGGATGGTGCCAGAAAGGGGAATTTGGATACTGGTAGCTCTGTGATAGTGTTTCCTCAGCCTTGTGGAAATAGTGTAGCGTTTTAGTAGCAGATAGTTGAAGAATTAGAGGGACTTTACTTTATTTGCCATGCTGCCACAATGACTGGTTCCGAATGTCTCAGTAAAATACTAATAGTGCATATATGGCCAAATAGAAATGGTTCTCCCACATTCTTGTTTTTGTTTTTTTTTTTGTTTGTTTGTTTTTGAGTTGGAGTCTCACTCTGTCGCCCAGACTGGAGTGCAGTGACCGCTCCCGGCCACCGCAGCCTCGACCTGCTGGGCTCCGGCGATCCTTCCGCCTCAGCCTTCCAAGTAGCTGGAACTACAGG